TCACTAAATAGTTATTATCATCAACATACAATGCAATGGAATGATTAAAATTGGAAAAAAAACATACCTTTCGAATTTTTGTAGAATATCTTTAAAGATGTTGTTTTGCTTATATTCATAATTTTGCATTTTTTCCCATTTCACACGGTTAATTTTTGATGTTTTATTTTCCATTCTTGTCCTTTACCACTTATTATTTATCTTAACACAAGTCAATGGTGCCCTCGAGGCATATTACAGTTTCTTAGGGAGACATGCATAACCCTTTGGCAAAAATTTTGTTCGGCGATTAATATCTTAAGCCGTGAGAACAAATGCAAAGTATGATGTATATTTTAAAAAAATAAAGTTTAAGCCTCTTAATTATGTATTTTAAAACAATTAATACATAATTAACTAAAATGTAATGGTAAGATCTAAATACAATTTAAACTGTATCTATCTATAACACATTTAGGTAAGAAACAACCATAAGTGCTATAGTTGATCAAACAGCCAACTATACTATAGTCACTTTCATGTACTCTGTGATGACAACTTGACACCAATATGAACATAACTGTTGTTAGATTATACTGTAAAATAAGCTCTTTTTAATGGTTAGACACCTGTAAACAAATCTGTTGAAGGTGGGCATGACAACTGTCAAGGGTTGAAAAAAGTTATTACTTGTTCCAACTGTATTCATTCAGAGAACTTTAAAATGAAAGAGTCAAAAGGTTATTTAAACATCTCATTGTTGGTCACGTGACAATACATCTGAAGTTTAAAATAGTTTTTTTTTAAGATTTATTTTGAAATAAAGGACTTAAAACTTGAATAAAATAAAACTTCAACTCATAACAAGTATTATAATATTAAATTCATTCACAAACATTGATATTAAAGGTGTTTAGTTAAATTTTGAATGTAACAGTGACTTGTGCAGAAAAGTATTTAAAGAGGCTCCCATTGTAAAATGGTGAAGCAAAAGCTTTTAGAATAACCTGGGTAATGGCCATAGCCAAGAATTTGAGGCCCAGGACAAGTCATTGTCATCATTTGCTTCTAGTTTGAATATTTTTTAAAGAAAACTTTACTAATATCTTACCCACAAAGAAAATGTATTTCCAGTAGATTGTTTAAAGCTAAATAGATTATTAATAAACTTAAGCTATTTACACAAATGTTCAACATATGCTTCATTATCTACTCACAATTAAAATATACAACCCACATACACCAGATATAAAAAAGGACCCTATACCAATAAACAACATATGTAAAAAACCAAAAAACAATTTATATTTTCCTTCTGCTGATATACAAAAGCCTAATGTTTGCTATTACAGCCAAAACATAGTTGTCCTACCAATAAGAACCCCTATATTCTTATTTGATATTTCATCTAACAGCACTGATATTTCAATATACATTATATACTTTATAATCATTTAAAAAAAGAATATATCCATTATTTTTAATCTTAGCACATCAGTTCAGTCCTAAATATATTGGTGTGCGTGTGTGTGTGTGTGTGTGTGTGTGTGTGTGTGTGTGTGTGTGTGTGTGTGTGTGTGTGTGTGTGTGTGTGTGTGTGTGTGTGTGTGTGTGTGTGTGTGTGTGTGTGTGTGTGTGTGTGTGTACTACTACTACTACTACTACTACACTAACTAAGTAACGTAACTTACTTCGTTACGTTACCGTCCTTACCGTACCGACGGTACCGA